AGAACTCTATGCCGGGACCGTCAGCAACTTCCAGGGCAACGAGCCGACCATCTCCCGCAGCCAGGAGAACCGGATCGCCCTTAAGACTGAAAATTCCCTCAACTGGCTGCAGGGTGAGCACTGGGGCTGGCACGGCCGGTCACGGTTCTTGTCCCCCAGAGTGTGGGAGGCTGGGGATAGGGCCAGCAGTGCTAAGGGTCCCTGTGTCCCCAGACCCGGTGTTCGTGGGCTCAGCCTACCTACGCGAGAGCCTCCCGACCGGCAACCCCGAGGGCGACGATGACAAGGTTTACTTCTTCTTCAGTGAGACTGGGAAGGAGTTTGACTACTTTGAGAACACCATCGTCTCCCGCATCGCGCGCGTGTGCAAGGTGGGTGCGGAGCAGTGGGGATGCATGGGGGACTGTGCCTGGGATATGACTTGCTGCTGGGGTGGGGTGTATGTGGGAGCACCCTGCACATTTCCAACCCTGGGTGCCTGGACCCCTGCTCCACTCCCCCAGCCCCTGAGGCTCCCCGTGGCCACAGCTGTGGCGTTGTGCCCTGACCCACTGTGCCACACAGGGGGACCAGGGCGGGGAGCGCGTGCTGCAGCGGCGGTGGACGACCTTCCTGAAAGCTCAGCTGCTCTGCTCACACCCCGAGGACGGGTTCCCCTTCAATGTGCTGCAGGACATCTTCGTGCTCACCCCGGGTGAGCTGCGCTGGAGGGACACGCTCTTCTACGGGGTCTTCACCTCACAGTGGTGAGCGATGGGGACCTGGGCCACTGCAGGGGGCAGTGCAGCGGTTTCAGCATTGGCAGGGGCCTGATCTTGCCATGGGCTCTGCCTGTCCCCACCAGGAACAAGGGGGGGCTGGGTTCGGCCGTCTGTGCCTTCCCCATGCGCAACGTGCAGCGTGCCTTCGGCGGGCTCTACAAGGAGGTGAACCGTGAGACGCAGCAGTGGTACACGGACACTGGCCCAGTGCCGGAGCCCCGGCCAGGCACAGTAGGTGCCCCCTCAGCACCTGCCCGACCGCAGGATGCAACATAACCCCTTGTGCTCTCCTGGTCCTGGCAGCTGCCACAGCAGAGCTGCCCGCCCACCTGCTGCCCTGAGGCCTACCGAGCCCCTTCCTCTCCCCCACAGTGCATCACAAGCCACACGCGGCACCTGAAGATCAATTCGTCGCTGCAGATGCCAGACCGGGTGCTGAACTTCATCAAGGACCACTTCCTGATGGACAGCCCCGTGCGCAGCCAGCCGCTGCTGCTGCAGAGCCGCCGGCGCTACCAGCAGATCGGCGTGCACCGCGCGCAGGGCCTGCACGGCACCTACGACGTCCTCTTCCTGGGCATGGGTGGGTGCAAGCAGGCTCTGGTGGGGCAGGCTGTGCGCTGTGCACCCTCTCTCCACTCAGCACAGCCCCTCTGTTCACAGATGACGGGCGGCTGCACAAGGCTGTGCGAGTGAACCACGGCGTGCACATCATCGAGGAGATCTGCCTCTTCCCTGACGGGCAGCCCATTCTCCAGCTGCTGCTGGACCAGGACCAGGCAGGAGCCAGGGCAAGGGGGGAGGGACACTGGGGGCTCAGCCTGCGTGAAGCAGGTAGTATTTGTGGGCTGGGAGACAGAGCCATGGGAGGGCAGGGGTGTTCAGGAACCGACCCTCTGACCCTACTGTGTTCCTTCTCGCAGGGCCTTGTCTATGCAACCACCTACACAGCAGTGGCCCAAGTACCCTTTGCCAACTGCAGCCTGTACCGTAGCTGTGGGGAGTGTGTGCTGGCACGGGACCCCTTCTGTGCCTGGAGCCGTGGCGCCTGCCGCAGGGTCACCCTGCACCCCCCAGCACACCCACAGTAAGTGCTTCACCCTTCCTCCTCCATCCCTCTGCATCACACAGCACCCCACAGCACCCTGCAGCACCCCGCTACCCTGATACCTCTCTGTCCCCAGGCTCTGGGCGCAGGACATCGAGGATGCTGACACGGAGCGGCTCTGCCAGCTGGCCAATGCCTCCCAACCCCGTCCCCGCGTCCTCCTGCCCCCAGGTGAGCTCCTGTGGGTGCTACCGTGGGGCTGGATGTCTCAGGGACTCCCACTCATCCCAGGCTCCCAGTCTGCACCCCCATTACTCCCCCATCCACGTCCAGGGTCCCCTTGCTGACTGTGGGTTCTGTCTGCAGCCTCGGGTGCCCCATGCCAGCGGATCCAGCTGCCCCCCAACACTGTGCGGCCGCTGCCGTGCCAGCTGCTCTCCAACCTGGCCTCGCGGCGCTGGCTGCACGATGGGGCACCTGTCAATGCCTCCTACCTGGTGCTGCCCGACGGGGCCCTCATCCTGGTGGGGAGCCCCGAGCGCGCGGGCACCTACGAGTGCTGGTCACTGGAGGAGGGATTCCACAAGCTGATGGCCAGCTACTGTGTGAGCGTGCAGGAGCCGGCCCGCGGGCCGCTGGGCCCCGGCAGGAAGGTGGCCTCTGGCCACGACGCCCTGGAGACGGTCAGCACATCCCGGAGCACCTCAGCAGTGGGCAGCGCCGCAGCACGGCTGGATGGCAAGACCTACTGGACTGAGTTCCTGGTGATGTGTGTGCTCTTCGCTGCCGCTGTCTTCGTGCTGGCCCTCTTTGTTCTGCACCGGCACCGCGATGGCATGAAGGCCTTGCTGGAACCTGGAGACCCCAGCCGGCACCAGAAGCCACCCCGCAAGCCGGTGGAGAGCCTGCCCCTGAATGGCAGCAGCCTGCCTAGCGCGGCATCGGAGCACAAGGGCTACCAGGCCCTGCAGGACAACTACATCGTCAGCACCCCAGTGCACGAGCCCTCGGGCACGCCACGCACCTTCTCTGAGTCAGAGAAGAGGCCCCTCCATGTCCGGGACAGCTTTGTGGAGGTGTCTCCTGCCTGCCAAAGACCCCGGGTGCGCCTGGGCTCTGAGATCCAGGACTCAGTGGTGTGACGGGGACGAGAGCCAAGCCCTAACCCATGACCACCTCTGCTCTGCTGAGCCTTGCCGGACCGCGCCGCGGCCAGGGTCTGTGTTGTCTGTGTGTGCATGCCTGGAGCATGGTGCCCACGGCCTGCGGCAGCACCCACCAGCCAGTGGGGTCTGAACTCCCGGGAGCTCCCTGGGCATCATCTCGGTACTGGCAACTGTGCGTGCGAGGGGTGCCACATGCCTTCCAGGGACCTGCGGGACTGTGCCAGCCCAGCGTCCCCCCTGTGGGAACAGACACAGTGCCTGGCTCAGGCTGCTTGGGCGGCCCCGGCTCTGCAGGGCCCAGACCTCCTCTATGCAGAGGGCAGGAGGGGGCAGCCACAGCCCCCTCGCGCCCCGACTCACTGTGATGTCCCGCTGTGGGACCCAGGGCCACGCTTGCGGCCAGGTGGTGCCGGCCCAGTGGCATGTGCTGTGTGTCTGTGTTGGTTCATTTTTAATACGTGGAAAATGTGAATCGTGTCTGTGGAAGGGGGCAGGGAGCAGCTGCCCCTGCATTGGGTGGGCAGGGACACCCTTGTGGCCCCATGTGCGTGTGCAGAAACGTCAGTGGTTTTTATATAAAGTCCAGGTGTCTCCTTTGGACATGTGTGTGTGCAGTGGGGCTGGGTGACTTCCCAGGCTGCAACCATCCTGGTGGCCCCATGGAGAGGAGCAATGTCTGGCTCTTGGTGCGGCTGGGGGGAGGTTGGCTGTGGCTGCTTGGGGCAGGAGGGTCGTGCTGGCTGTCAGACCTGCAGTGCCCATGTGCTTGGCTGAGCGTTGGGCCAGGGCACACGGGGCCCTGCAGTGCACTGGTTGTGTGCCCATGCAGGGACGCTGCCTGGGGCTGTGCCAGGGGTCCCTGTGACCCTCTGGCAGGGTATCACTCGAGCAGCTGTCGGATGTCTTGTGGCCGTGCCTGGAGGCCCATGCTGCGGAGAGCAGTGTGGCAGAGGCAGCGTGGGGCTGATATTGTCTTGATACTGGGAGAAGCTGGGGAAGGCAGAGGTGAACAGTACTAAGAAAACTTGGTGCCTGGGGCTTGGAGCGGAGCAGCCTCCAGCAAGAAGGGGCTGTGGCAGCCCCCTTCCCCAGGACCATATTGTTGTGCTGCACATGAGATCCACTGCCGGCCCGGAGAGCAGCAGGTCCTTGTCCCCATCCTACCCGGCTGTAGAATGACCCCAGCTGCTTTGCTGGCAGGATCAGACTCCATGGTGGCTGAGGACCAGGACTGGGACTGCGGTGCAGTGCTGCTCATGAGCCCTCGCACACCCTCGTGCCTGGGAAACACCAACTGCACCAGTACGGGGCTGAGGGAAGCAGTGAGTGCTGCATGGAGCTGGCGTGTTGAGGCAGGATTCCCCCCAGGGACCAGCACTGCCTCACTCCCAGCTGGACCTGCACACTGAATTTCCTGCCCAGCCTGTTCTGGGACATCAAAAAAGCCACCGGAGGCGTTGGCTGGTGCTTTGCCAGCAGACGTGGCCCTGGGGCCGCAGGGGTACAGGCCTTGGCAGGCAGATATCGTCAGCTACGCGGGGCATTGAGCTGGAAGGGCCAGCAGCGCAAGGAGCAGGAAACAGTGTGAGAAACGGCCACGGCAATGCCCCAAGAGTTCTCAGTCACTTCTTCCCACCACAGCTCTGCAGGGCCAGCCAGACCCCTGGCCCAGGCCCCACACCAGCATGGCAGAGCCGCTGGCTGCGGGCCAGGGCAGAGCCGGTGGCTGAACAGGCACAAAGGGCCCCAGCGCTGCCCACAGCGAAGGTCCCGCTCGCCTGGCCGGGATCTCCCTCGGTGCCTCTGACCGGAGCACCGAGATCTTTGTGCTGCCCAGAACAATCCCGTCATGGAGGAGGGAGGGAGGAAGGCAGAGAGGTGGCCACGGAAAGGGCTGTCACCGCGCAGAACGTGGGACCTGTCCCAGAGCGGTGGCTGGCGCACGGGCAGAGGGGCCTGGCAGGAGCCCGTGTCCCGGCACCCTCATGGCACCCGTCCCGCAGCCAGACAAAGGCAGCAAAGAGCGAGGGTGAAACCGGAGCCCTTTATTTGTGTCCTCACAGGGGCTGGGGGAGGAAGAGGCCAGCGCAGCCAAGCAGCTGCTGGGCTGGAGCCAGAGCAGGGGCAGAGAGAGAAAGGGAGGAGGAGGAGGAGGAGAACAGGCTCCGAGCACGGTCAGTGCTGAGGCAGCACGGGGGAGCCCTGCTGTGCACCCGGGGGCTGTGCCAGTGGGGAAGGAATGTGTCCTGTGCAGCTGGAGGGGACAGCTCTGCTGTGGGTTGGCACCTGGACAGTGACACTTGGGTTATTGCTTAGAGAAAGGACCCCCGTTTGGGTTACTCCTCAGGAAAAATGATCCCCAATTTGGTTATTGCTCAGAGGATCCATGTTCAGGTTACTGCTCAGCTCAGAGAAATGGATCCATGGGGCAGCAGGGATGCTCCCAGGAAGCTGAGAAGAGGCTGGAGAGGGAGGCAGCTCTCTGCCTGCTGCTGGAAGGCACAACTTGGGCATTGGTCTTTAGGGATTTGGGAATTGGTCCTGAGGGCAAAGAGGGGCTGTGCTGGCACAGAGTGGCCTCAGACAAGAGCAGCTGAGTCTCTCCCACCTGCAGAGCTGCCCTTGGACTGCATACGGAGTCAAACTCCAGTGCTGGGAGAGCAGAGGGGTGGCAGGAGAGGCAGATTCCCAGGGCCTCCCACTGCCAGGCACCTGAGAGGAGAGCAGGAGGGCTCCTGCCCAAGGCACTGTGGCACTGCTGGGCCAGTGAAGGGCCGGGCCTGTGCTCCCTGAAAGAAGAAATGGCTGAGCCCACAAAGAGCTGCAGGAGCCAGAGGAGTGCTGGAGGAACTGAAGGAGTGCTGGAGAAACTGCTGGAATGAAGCTGGAGGAGAAGCTAGAGGAACTGGACGAGTGGTGCTGGAGTAACTGAAGGAGTGCTGGAGAAACTGGAGGAATGATGCTGGGGAACCAGACGAGTGTTGCTGGAGGAGTGGTGCTGGTGAGCCACGGGGCTCACAGGACGATCTTGAAGGAGCTGCAAGAGACACAACAGGTTCTGCACCTCCCCGCTGGCTCACACAGAAGTTTGCAAGCACCCAATGCCAGAGGGACCCATGTTCCCACGTGGGAGAGGCTCTGCAGAGCCAGCTTGGGATGCAGCTCACTCTGCCATTATGGCAGACCTGGCACAGGACAGCCCTGCCCTCCTGCCACCATGAGCTCTGCCCCAGCTCAGCAAGTGAGGCAATGAACCCTCAGACAGACCCCGGGACAGGCTGTGCTGCTGGGCAGCGCCGCACCTGGCAAAGTCTGGGGAGCGGGAGACGACATGCTGGAACTCAGAGAGGTTGATGGTGCCGTCCTTATCGATGTCGGACTCCTCCAGGATCTGGGGGGAAAGGGCATTGGTGAGCTCTGTGCCTGGGGCTGTGCAGTGTCCATGCCCTGCCCACACTCACATTTTGGATGAGCTGCTCCATCTCCGCCCTGCTCAGTCGGGACTCCTCGCCCTGCCCCGTCAGGCAGTTCACCAGTTGCTCCAGGTCCTTCCTGTCCAGAGTCCCATCGTTGTCAAAGTCTGTGGGGACAGGAAAGGTACCTTTTGCAAGGGGCCACAGAGAACTCAGAGAGTCCCAAGCACCAGCACTGCGCAGCTCCATGCACATCACTGTGCCAAAACAGCCATTCCCGCAGGGAGCTCCTAAAGCCACCATTCCCAGGGGCAGCCCTCCTGAATGTGAATTCATCCCCCGCCTCCACTCTTCCTGAGGTGCAGGGACCCCAGGAGACAGCAGCAGCCCCTAGCCTTACCAAAGATGCATGGCAAGGAAGTCTTCAAAGGACATGCTGTTGTCCCCAGCCTCCGAGGTGGAGAACACATTGCAGATCCGGTGCTGGAAGGGGTTTGCCTGTGGACACGGGAATGGCTCAGGCAGGGCTGGGCTGGGCTGGCTCCCTCTGGCACATACCGGCTGTGCCTGCTGCTCCAGCAGCTGAGTGGGTGCCCCACTCTGGGACCAGTCTGGCACCCAAGGCACAGCTGAGCCTGTCCTGTGCCTCCTGGGATGCAGCCCTGCACAGCAGGGATCCCTGGGATCCTCCACAGCACAGCAGGAGGAGGATCCCCAAGATCCTCAGCAGCTCAGTGGGGACGAGGAAGCTGTTTGTTGGCACAGTTGAGGGCAGAGCCTTGGCACGGTGTGGTCACGGTGGATGAACCGAGGCCCTGCCCAAACATGCCCCCACCCGGGAGCAGCAGCATCCTGTGTGTGCCAGGCACCGTACCCGCAGCTCAGGCAGTGTCAGGATGTGGCTCTTGGGAACCCGCGCGGAGCAGGCGTTCTCCCGCTCCTCCTTTGGCAGCAGTTCTCTGAACCTCTTGTAGGCACTTGAAGAGGAAAGAACAAGAGTGGCTCTGTGGTGCCCGTGGGATGGCAGCAGCCCCTCTGGGCACCAGCAGCGCTTCCCAGCGCCAGGCGGGTGTGTGCTGGCCCAGGGGGTCCCACAGCTGCTCCCGGGGCCAGGGAGAGGAGCTGGCCTGGTGCTGCCCGGCCCAGGGCTGGGGATTCAGAGGGGGCTCGGGGCGGCCTCACAGCCCCCGCCCCGCTCGTCAGGGCGGGCCCGGCCCGGCCCGTGCCACCGGCAGCACCCGCGGACCTTTGCCCTGTGACACCCCACTGTCAGGGAACGGCACCGGCACCTCCCGCCTCAGCTGGGCATCACGGCGGAACTGGAGCCCTCCGTGCCCCCTGGCACAGCCTGAGGCCCCGGGAGCATGGGGGACCAGGGGTCTGCACCCACATCCCGCCCCACGGGTGGTACTTACAGCAGGATCTCCTGCTTGCTCAGGAACGTCAGCTCCTGCGGGAAGAGTGCGGGTCAGTAACGGGCACCGAGATCAGCACCGGGGTCAGCACCGGGCACCGGGGTCACCACCGGGGTCAAGCACCGGCAGCGGGGCCAGGGCCTGACCGGGGGCATCGCAGTCCCGGGTCCCTCGGCCTATGGGCAGCTGCCCCCGGGGGCCGCGCCGCCGCCCGTGTCCCCACGGTGCCGGTGCCGGTGGCGGTGGCGGGGCCGTACCTGGTACTCGCCCAGCGCGTCCCGCGGCAGCAGACTGGCCGAGCCGCCCATGGCGCCGCTTCCGCCGCCCGTCACTCACCCGCTGCCGTGGCAACGCCCCGCCCCGCGGCCGGGCAGCCACGCCCCCCGCCCCACCGAGCCCCGCCCGCCCGGCCGACACCGAGGCCGCGGGTTCGCGGCTGAGCCCGCCCCGCACCGGCGATGGCCGCGGCGCCGGCGGCGGGCGAGGGGCCGGACCCCGAGGAGTTCGTGTACGGCGAGGAGGATTTCGTGCTGCAGGCGGCCGGCTGGGACGACCCGGACTCCGCGCTCTCCCGCTTCGACCGAGCGCTGCTGGCGGGCTGGAGCGACCGTATGGAGAGGGGACTGTTCCGGTACCGGCTCGGGCCGCTGCCCACCCGCGTCCTGCCTGGCCCCGAGCGCCTCGTGGCGCAGCTGAACGAGCAGCGCAGCGCCGAGCGCCGCCCGCCGCAGCCCGTCCGCAGCCTCCGGGACCCCTTCGACCCCGGCGCCTTCAACTTCACCCGGCTGCGCCCCGCCGAGCTGCTGCTCCGCCTGCGCCGCGCCGGGGGCCCGGGGCCGCCGCCCGACCCGCTGCTGGTGGCCATCAACGCCAGCCCGCTGGAGCGGGGACACGTCCTGCTGCTGCCGGAGCCGGCGCGGCGGCTGGGGAGGAGATGGCACCGGGACTGAGACTGGGGCAGGGACCGGCGTGGCTTTCTCCACGGCGGGCCCCACACCAACACCGAGGCTCTGCAGGGCCAGCCAGACCCCTGGCCCAGGCCCCACACCAGCATGGCAGAGCCGCTGGCTGCGGGCCAGGGCAGAGCCGGTGGCTGAACAGGCACAAAGGGCCCCAGCGCTGCCCACAGCGAAGGTCCCGCTCGCCTGGCCGGGATCTCCCTCGGTGCCTCTGACCGGAGCACCGAGATCTTTGTGCTGCCCAGAACAATCCCGTCATGGAGGAGGGAGGGAGGAAGGCAGAGAGGTGGCCACGGAAAGGGCTGTCACCGCGCAGAACGTGGGACCTGTCCCAGAGCGGTGGCTGGCGCACGGGCAGAGGGGCCTGGCAGGAGCCCGTGTCCCGGCACCCTCGTGGCACCCGTCCCGCAGCCAGACAAAGGCAGCAAAGAGCGAGGGTGAAACCGGAGCCCTTTATTTGTGTCCTCACAGGGGCTGGGGGAGGAAGAGGCCAGCGCAGCCAAGCAGCTGCTGGGCTGGAGCCAGAGCAGGGGCAGAGAGAGAGAGAGGAGGAGGAGGAGGAGGAGAACAGGCTCCGAGCACGGTCAGTGCTGAGGCAGCACGGGGGAGCCCTGCTGTGCACCCGGGGGCTGTGCCAGTGGGGAAGGAATGTGTCCTGTGCAGCTGGAGGGGACAGCTCTGCTGTGGGTTGGCACCTGGACAGTGACACTTGGGTTATTGCTTAGAGAAAGGACCCCCGTTTGGGTTACTCCTCAGGAAAAATGATCCCCAATTTGGTTATTGCTCAGAGGATCCATGTTCAGGTTACTGCTCAGCTCAGAGAAATGGATCCATGGGGCAGCAGGGACGCTCCCAGGAAGCTGAGAAGAGGCTGGAGAGGGAGGCAGCTCTCTGCCTGCTGCTGGAAGGCACAACTTGGGCATTGGTCTTTAGGGATTTGGGAATTGGTCCTGAGGGCAAAGAGGGGCTGTGCTGGCACAGAGTGGCCCCAGACAAGAGCAGCTGAGTCTCTCCCACCTGCAGAGCTGCCCTTGGACTGCATACGGAGTCAAACTCCGGTGCTGGGAGAGCAGAGGGGTGGCAGGAGAGGCAGATTCCCAGGGCCTCCCACTGCCAGGCACCTGAGAGGAGAGCAGGAGGGCTCCTGCCCAAGGCACTGTGGCACTGCTGGGCCAGTGAAGGGCCAGGCCTGTGCTCCCTGAAAGAAGAAATGGCTGAGCCCACAAAGAGCTGCAGGAGCCAGAGGAGTGCTGGAGGAACTGAAGGAGTGCTGGAGAAACTGCTGGAATGAAGCTGGAGGAGAAGCTAGAGGAACTGGACGAGTGGTGCTGGAGTAACTGAAGGAGTGCTGGAGAAACTGGAGGAATGATGCTGGGGAACCAGACGAGTGTTGCTGGAGGAGGGTGCTGGTGAGCCACGGGGCTCACAGGACGATCTTGAAGGAGCTGCAAGAGACACAACAGGTTCTGCACCTCCCCGCTGGCTCACACAGAAGTTTGCAAGCACCCAATGCCAGAGGGACCCATGTTCCCACGTGGGAGAGGCTCTGCAGAGCCAGCTTGGGATGCAGCTCACTCTGCCATTATGGCAGACCTGGCACAGGACAGCCCTGCCCTCCTGCCACCATGAGCTCTGCCCCAGCTCAGCAAGTGAGGCAATGAACCCTCAGACAGACCCCGGGACAGGCTGTGCTGCTGGGCAGCGCCGCACCTGGCAAAGTCTGGGGAGCGAGAGACGACATGCTGGAACTCAGAGAGGTTGATGGTGCCGTCCTTATCGATGTCGGACTCCTCCAGGATCTGGGGGGAAAGGGCATTGGTGAGCTCTGTGCCTGGGGCTGTGCAGTGTCCATGCCCTGCCCACACTCACATTTTGGATGAGCTGCTCCATCTCCGCCCTGCTCAGTCGGGACTCCTCGCCCTGCCCCGTCAGGCAGTTCACCAGTTGCTCCAGGTCCTTCCTGTCCAGAGTCCCATCGTTGTCAAAGTCTGTGGGGACAGGAAAGGTACCTTTTGCAAGGGGCCACAGAGAACTCAGAGAGTCCCAAGCACCAGCACTGCGCAGCTCCATGCACATCACTGTGCCAAAACAGCCATTCCCGCAGGGAGCTCCTAAAGCCACCATTCCCAGGGGCAGCCCTCCTGAATGTGAATTCATCCCCCGCCTCCACTCTTCCTGAGGTGCAGGGACCCCAGGAGACAGCAGCAGCCCCCAGCCTTACCAAAGATGCGGAAGGCATAGTGGGATTTGATGTCAAAGGTGGCAGAGTCACTGAAGACGCTCAGCATATCAAGGAAGTCTTCAAAGGACATGCTGTTGTCCCCAGCCTCCGAGGTGGAGAACACATTGCAGATCCGGTGCTGGAAGGGGTTTGCCTGTGGACATGGGAATGGCTCAGGCAGGGCTGGGCTGGGCTGGCTCCCTCTGGCACATACCGGCTGTGCCTGCTGCTCCAGCAGCTGAGTGGGTGCCCCACTCTGGGACCAGTCTGGCACCCAAGGCACAGCTGAGCCTGTCCTGTGCCTCCTGGGATGCAGCCCTGCACAGCAGGGATCCCTGGGATCCTCCACAGCACAGCAGGAGGAGGATCCCCAAGATCCTCAGCAGCTCAGTGGGGACGAGGAAGCTGTTTGTTGGCACAGTTGAGGGCAGAGCCTTGGCACGGTGTGGTCACGGTGGATGAACCGAGGCCCTGCCCAAACATGCCCCCACCCGGGAGCAGCAGCATCCTGTGCGTGCCAGGCACCGTACCCGCAGCTCAGGCAGTGTCAGGATGTGGCTCTTGGGAACCCGCGCGGAGCAGGCGTTCTCCCGCTCCTCCTTTGGCAGCAGTTCTCTGAACCTCTTGTAGGCACTTGAAGAGGAAAGAACAAGAGTGGCTCTGTGGTGCCCGTGGGATGGCAGCAGCCCCTCTGGGCACCAGCAGCGCTTCCCAGCGCCAGGCGGGTGTGTGCTGGCCCAGGGGGTCCCACAGCTGCTCCCGGGGCCAGGGAGAGGAGCTGGCCTGGTGCTGCCCGGCCCAGGGCTGGGGATTCAGAGGGGGCTCGGGGCGGCCTCACAGCCCCCGCCCCGCTCGTCAGGGCGGGCCCGGCCCGGCCTGTGCCACCGGCAGCACCTGCGGACCTTTGCCCTGTGACACCCCACTGTCAGGGAACGGCACCGGCACCTCCCGCCTCAGCTGGGCATCACGGCGGAACTGGAGCCCTCCGTGCCCCCTGGCACAGCCTGAGGCCCCGGGAGCATGGGGGACCAGGGGTCTGCACCCACATCCCGCCCCACGGGTGGTACTTACAGCAGGATCTCCTGCTTGCTCAGGAACGTCAGCTCCTGCGGGAAGAGTGCGGGTCAGTAACGGGCACCGAGATCAGCACCGGGGTCAGCACCGGGCACCGGGGTCACCACCGGGGTCAAGCACCGGCAGCGGGGCCAGGGCCTGACCGGGGCATCGCAGTCCCGGGTCCTCGGCCTATGGGCAGCTGCCCCTGGGGCCGCGCCGCCCGTGTCCCCACGGTGCCGCCCTCTCCACGGTGCCGGTGGCGGTGGCGGTGGCGGGGCCGTACCTGGTACTCGCCCAGCGCGTCCCGCGGCAGCAGACTGGCCGAGCCGCCCATGGCGCCGCTTCCGCCGCCCGTCACTCACCCGCTGCCGTGGCAACGCCCCGCCCCGCGGCCGGGCAGCCACGCCCCCGCCCCACCGAGCCCCGCCCGCCCGGCCGACACCGAGGCCGCGGGTTCGCGGCTGAGCCCGCCCCGCACCGGCGATGGCCGCGGCGCCGGCGGCGGGCGAGGGGCCGGACCCCGAGGAGTTCGTGTACGGCGAGGAGGATTTCGTGCTGCAGGCGGCCGGCTGGGACGACCCGGACTCCGCGCTCTCCCGCTTCGACCGAGCGCTGCTGGCGGGCTGGAGCGACCGTATGGAGAGGGGACTGTTCCGGTACCGGCTCGGGCCGCTGCCCACCCGCGTCCTGCCTGGCCCCGAGCGCCTCGTGGCGCAGCTGAACGAGCAGCGCAGCGCCGAGCGCCGCCCGCCGCAGCCCGTCCGCAGCCTCCGGGACCCCTTCGACCCCGGCGCCTTCAACTTCACCCGGCTGCGCCCCGCCGAGCTGCTGCTCCGCCTGCGCCGCGCCGGGGGCCCGGGGCCGCCGCCCGACCCGCTGCTGGTGGCCATCAACGCCAGCCCGCTGGAGCGGGGACACGTCCTGCTGCTGCCGGAGCCGGCGCGGCGGCTGCCACAGGCGCTGACAGCCCCGGCGCTGCGCGGGGCGCTGGAGGCGGCGCTGCTCAGCGGCCACCCGGGATTCCGCGTGGGCTTCAATGGGCTGGGCGGCGGAGCCTCGGTGAACCACCTGCACCTTCACGGGCTCTACCTAAGCCTGCCGCTGCCACTGGAGACGGCGCCGGCCGAGTCGCTGGGGCCGCGCCTGGGGCTGCTCCGCGCCGGACCCGCCCCCGCGTTCCTCTTCTTCGCCGCCGGCCCCGCGGCGCTGGAGCCGGTGTCGCGGGCTGTGTGCCGGGCGGCGGAGCACCTGGGCGGTGCTGGGCTGGCCTGTAACGTGCTGGCCACGCGGGGCGATCCGCCGGCGGGCCGGCGCCGGCAGCGGCCGCGGCCTGCGTGTGCTGCTATGGGCGCGCCCGCCCCGCTTCGGCCCCAAGGCGGGCGAGCCCTTCGCCGTGGCGCTGTGCGAGCTGGCAGGGTTCCTGCCGCTGCCCGCCGCGCCGCTCTACCGCCACATCACCGAGGCACAGGCTCTTAGCGCCATCCGCCAGCACCTACTGCCCGAGGCTGAGCTGCTGCGCCTCGGCGGAGAGCTGGCGCGGCTGCTGGAGAGCTGACGGGACCGGGACCGGGACAGGCACGGCTGTGGCAGGGCTGGTGGCACCGGCGGGGGTTGTGATGCCGCCCGCCAGGGGCCGCTGCGCGTCGGAGGACTGCGGAACTGGCAGCCACGCGCCCTCATCGGGGCCGCTCTGGCTAGCAGCGCCCGCGTCTCTGTGGCCCTGTCGCCATGGGAACGCGGCCGCCCTGGGAGCGGCGCGATGGCGGCGGGCGGTGCTGGGGAGGGGCCGGGCCCGCCCCCGGGGACCCCACCGGGCGGGGAGGCCGCCCCTGGAACCCCACCGGACCAGGAGGAGGCGGCTGGCGCCGCGGTCCCTCCGGACCGTTCCGGTGCCCCTGTCGGCCCCGAGCCACGGAGGAAGCGCAGGCGAGTGCTGGGCCGCAGACCTCGGGCAGGGCCCGGGGAGAGCCCTTCCAGCCCCACCCCGGGGCGCCTCCCGCTACCTCAGTCGCGCTCGGTCCTGGTGTAGCCCGGCCCTGCTGCTCCCCGCGGACAGTGCCCTGCCGGGGTCCGCTGCTCTCAGCCCCCGGGAGATTGTCCGGGGACCCACTGACCCAAAATAAACAGTTTCCCTGAAACTGCCCCAACGATCTGCCATGTGACGCACCGAGGCGCGGCCCCGTGCCCGGGACCTCTGTGCCCCATCTCCTCAGGGCTGCACCCGGTCAGACCTGCGTGCTGTGCCGTGTCTGTGGGAGGGATCGGGCTGTATCCCCTCTCCATCCCGTGCCCACTCCTTTGCTGAGCCCCTTTCTTCTCATCTCTCAATTCCAGTGTCCCCTCCATCAACCTGAGTGGCTGCAGGTATGAAAGCGGTAAGTCTGAGGGGCTGCGGGGTCCCTGTGGGGTCCGGGAGGGGCCCAGCCCACCCCTGCAGGCTCTGTGGGTGCCTGTGCAGCTGGGAGCACTGTTGGCATCCAGCTCTCACTGGTTTATTTACTGATGCTAGTGACTGGGCCCCTGTGGTAGTGGGGAGTTTGTCACACTTTGGACTGAGGTTTCCCCTGGTTTAAAATCTGTAACAGCAGCATAAGCCCTCGACATCCCCCCACACCTGTGTTTGCCAGGTGTCTGCTAAAGTGGGTGAGAAGGGTTCAGTCAGGTACAGTGCAAGGGGGTACCTGGGCTTGGGGACAGGACCTGAGGGCTCTCAACTGTTTAAGGTTCCTGTTGGTGGAACAGTCAGGATCCATACCTTGAACCTCTCCCTGTGCCATCCATCCCCAGTGACTCCAAGGAGCTGGTCCCCTCTCCTCTCCCGCTTTTCTTTCCTACCACAAGCTGGATCTTAAAAGAACAACCTCCTGGCCCTTGAGGGGTGTTATTAAGCCACTTCGCTAAGGGGTCTTGGTGTGCACAGACCTCCACCACCTTCCCAGCCCTGCGAGGGCCAAATTCAGACCTAGCACTAATAATTAGAGGGCTGAGAGCACCCAGAACATGTGCAGCCAGAGGCTGAGGGGTAGGCCAGGTAAAGCTGGTGTTCCTGACACCTCCCAAAGGGTCCCGCCAGCACCTTGTGCAGTTGGGAGAGGTTTGTTCCGCGTCCTGTCCCTGGTTATTTTGGGGGTTTGTCTGTCGCTGTGGCTCCCCTGCCTGCCCCTGTCACCACTTGCCTTGGCACAGTGCGGCGGGCGGCGCAGCACTGCGGGCTGAAGGAAGCGGGAGAGAACGAGGAGTGGACGGTGTGCTGGACAGACAGCTCGGTTTCTCTGGAGCGCCTCATGGAAATGAAGCGGTTCCAGGTAAACAAAAGAGCTGTCCAGCAGGAATCACTCAGGGAGGAGGGTAACATGGGGACTGTCGATGGAATAGCATATGACAGAGTGGAACAGAGGCATCCAAAGCAGTGCCTGTTACCCATCTGTGCCTCGGCTCCACGCCTTTCCTTGTGCCGTGTCTGTGGTCGGTGCCTCAGGAGAACTCGGAAGCCGCAGCAGGAGCGGGAGCACTGCCAGCCCTGTAATGTGCTGTGAAATAAATGGGCTAGGATGATAAATGGTTTTTAGGGTGCTCTGGGCAGGGAGAGCTCCAGGGCTGAGATGGAGCACATAAATCACTGGTGAAGCTCAGACAGAGCGACTGTAGTGCAGTCTTGCCCCTCAGCAGCAGTTCAAGGCAGCTGTGGGCCTGGCCTCCTTCCTGCTCTGGTGCTGGTTCTCCACTGGGCTGGGAGGATGCATCTGTGCAGGGCCTCCTCTGATCTGGGGTTTTCCGCCTCTCCTTCAGAAAATCAACCACTTCCCAGGCATGATCGAGCTGTGCCGTAAGGACCTGCTGGCTCGCAACCTGAACCGCATGCTCCGGCTCTTCCCCAAGGAGTACAACATCTTCCCCCGCACGTGGTGCCTGCCAGCCGAGTGAGTGGTGCGGGATGGCGCTGCGGGGAGGGGCTCACACTGCGAGGGGGAGCCTGTTCACCTGCTCCCTCTGGGCACCAGAGCCCAGATCTTACTGGCTCTGGCAGGTATCGTGGTGACCTCTGCAGCTGACCTCCCGGTACAGGTGCACATGTGTACAAGGAAAAGGTGGGACTGGGAGAGCTGGGTCAGGTCACACAGGGACCAGCCTGTGGCTCTTGTAGATCAGGAATGGAGGTTCTGTTTCTCCCCTGTGGACACTTGATTTGTACTGGCCCACAGTGACATGGTTTCAGTACCCAGCTGTTAGGAGGAAGTCAGAGGGTGTTTTTTGCAGCTGGTGAGCATCACCCCTTCCTTGCACAGCTATGGAGACTTCCATGCCTACAGATCCATGAGGAAAACCAGAACATTCATCTGCAAGCCCGACAACAGCTGCCAGGGAAAAGGGATCTTCATAACTCACCACCCAGAGGAGATCAAGCACGGGGAGCGCATGATCTGTCAGCAGTACATCTCTGAGGTACCGGGAGAGTCCTGGAACACCAGGGGAGGATTCCAGCCTCCTCATTCTGCCAGCATCCCACATCCTTCCCATGTCCCCCCAGGTCTGCTGGGGGTGGCTGTGGCACAGCAGGGGCACAGCTCTCTTCCCTCCTCTGCTGCCAAAGAGCAGCACAGGCAGATGGAGCAGTTCCTGATCTCACCCTTGCTCCTGACTTTCCTCACAGCCTTTTCTCATTGATGGCTTCAAGTTTGACATGCGCATCTACGTGCTGGTCACATCCTGTGACCCACTGAGGGTTTTTCTCTACAAGGAGGGCCTGGCCCGGTTTGCCACCATGAGGTACATCAATCGCAGCAGCAGAAACCTGGTAAAAAAAGGAAGTTTCAAAAAACCTCACATAGTATCTGTAGGTGTCAATCCCTAACGTGTCCTAGGGACATTCCAGGCCTCAAAAAGGCTGGCTACAGGGATGCCAGCTTGCTGCTTTCCTGTTCTCCCTCTGTACCCCCTCCTTGTTCTCCTCACAAGAGGTATTTCAGAAGGATTTGAAATAGATCTACCCCCACATCTAGCCTCACATTTGGGCTTTTTACTGGCATTACCACAGAATCATAGAGTTGGTTTGCATTGAAGAAACATTGGAAGGTCTCCAACCTCATGTTCAAAATTGGGTCAACAATAAATTCAGATCTGGTTTCTTGGGGTGTCACCCCAGCAGGTGTTGAAAACCTGCAGGCCCCTGGTGCCTCTGGCCATCACCATACTGCTCCTGACCCTGAGGAGCGTGGTCCATTCCACACCATTCCTGCTCTGCCCATGCATCAGGCGGAAAAGAAGGACTTGGGCTTATCTGGTGGGGCTGTTTCTGTTCTCGCTGTGTGGTTCAGAGTGAATGAATGTCTCTCCTGGTTTCCTGCTAGGGTGACATCTGCATGCATCTGACCAATTATGCAATCAACAAGCACAATGAGAACTTCGTCCAGGATGACACAATGGGCAGCAAGAGGTACTGGCATGTCCAGGCACCACAGGAATGCTGTGGGACACTAGTTTACCTCATCTTTCCTGGGATGGCATAGCTCAGCCCTTACCACCTCCTGTCCCCCATGCAGGAAGCTGTCCACCCTGAATGCCTGGATGGCAGAGCACAGCTACGACACAACAAAGCTCTGGGCAGATATTGATGACATTGTCATAAAGACACTGATTTCAGCTCACCCTGTGGTGAAGCACCACTACCAGAGCTGCTTCCCCAACCACGCCGCTGGCTGCGCCTGCTTCGAGATCCTGGGCTTTGACATTTTGCTGGACAGAAGGCTGAAGCCATGGCTGCTAGAGGTGAGGAAGGAGCAGACAACCAAAAGCTGGGAGAGGCTTCTGGACAGGGGGGTGGGGTGAACAGGACAAGTTTGATTCGAAAGGGCCACCTCACTCACAGAATTAACCAGGCTGTGAAGCCAAGCACCTGCTGTGAGAGGGATCCAAGAGAGCCAGTTTCCTGCAGACCCTCTAACACAGGGAATTTCCCAAACCTTAGGACCCCTTTTCCTGTAAGAGCACCTGCCAGCGTCCACCAAGCACCCTGAGTTTGTGACAGCTGCCCCCCACCTGCAACCTGTGGGGTGGGATCCGGGTGACCTGTGGCACTGCAGGGACAGAGTGCTCTGTGTGGCCCCCTGCTTCCTGTCACTGACACAGGGAAGAGCATCCATGGACAGTGTGGGGGGCATCCAGGGCCACGGGCTGGGAGCTGGGCTGCCAGGTTAGGTTACTCGCTTGTCTTGGCAGGTGAACCACTCTCCCAGCTTCTACACAGACTCTCAGCTAGACCGTGAGGTGAAGGATGCCCTTCTGTGTGACACCTTCAACCTTATCAATGTGCACGCCTGCGACAGAAGGAAGGTGCTGGAGGAAGACAAGCGGCGGGTAAAGGAGCGGCTCCTGCAGGCCAACCAGACCCAGACTCTCCGTGAGTCCAGGTATTGCTGTTTCCCTCAGTGCTACACATCTCCAGTGAGGAGAGACAGGGCATGGCAGAGCAGGATAATGCCAGGGCTGGCAGGTGAAGCTCCCAGGGCCCATGGCACTGTGCAGCCTCTGAGCTCTCCCAAGCCATCTGCAGCCTGGAAGGAAG